GTATATACATATTAGATATAAGCCATAAAGTACCTGCTATAAGAAATGAAATATTATAAATATCTAATAATATGTAACTATTACAGAGTCTTAAATAAATTTTAAACTTTCAATGTACATTTTTATAATTTATAAACATTACAATATATTAAGAGTTTCGGTGAATCATGTGACGTAAGCGTGGGGTTTTAATATATATTTATTATAGTTGTTTATTATATCAGGAGAGGTTTATATTATAGTGTAGCCGCACTCATATTTTCAATGCACGTGTCGGACAGGTGTTATAGGTACATTATTATATACCAGTTATACTGATGTCTTCGTCGCGGTCGTTCTGATATAGACCAAAAAAAGGTACAGTATTATTACTGTACAGTATGCACACACTACTCATTCCAACGGTTTAAGAAAAACAAGTCAGCCTGCTCGTTATTTAAATGTGAAACTTGTGTTGTTTTATGGTTTATTACCACCGTGCACGATAACAAAAAATATATTACAAATATTTCTTACAAAATATAACATATTATGTTATAGTTAAATTAAAACATAATGGGTATAAACAAAAATTGTCTGTTTTCCATTTCGGTGCGTTAAACAATGTTCAGGCTTCATTGATTATTTAAAACTTTCAACAAATTGACGGGGGAGTTTCAAACCCTACACGGCACATATTATAACCATAATATAAAATATATACGATTGCTGGTGAATAATAATCGATTTGGTGCAGACGCACGTCTGCATTGCATGTATCGATTTGTCTACTATTCTACATAAATTGAATTAACCGCTCACAGATGAATTGCACCCGACATAAATATATCACGACAATGACAAGGAAGAAAAAAAAGGAACTAACCACGAAGAAGAAATGTGCTGAAAAAAGACATTATCTTGTATACTGCTTTGGTCTCTAGCTCTATACGGTTGGGGCCCGTGGGAGAGCATTTAATTGAAGAGTAAAATCGAAAGCGAGTTTTATTTTCTCATAGACTAGGAAAACTTGTTTTACTATTTATAGCATAGATTATCGCTTTTACGGAATAAACTCTGACGTCATTAAATCTATCTTGTACACAATAACGCCGTGTGCATATGCGTCAACAGCGGCCGCGTCAACGTGACAACATCGTTAGGTGCTTAGGTGAACATCATTAGATTGACGACAACGTAAGATCAGACATACTATTATGATGTGAAGGTAATGTGAATAATTAAGGCATAATGCAGAAATGCAGAGTGAGTTAAACCAATAAACATAATAGTAATAAATTATAATTTTATTTTATTCTTATATTGAATTGTCATTTTGTAAAATGATTGTTTATTTTGTAGTATGCCTATAAAGTCTTATGCTATACTATAAATATATAATTTATTCAAAATTGAATTTATAATATTATCAACTATTCTTTATAAATATTATTTATTTAAATATGGAAGTGAGAGATAACACTTAAAATTACTAAATAAATTATTTTTTTATTTATTTGGAAACCTTTTTGTCCTGTACAACTCATGTAAATCATTAGTTTATTATTGATCAAACCATTGTCCTTAATACAACTTCTGTGGTAAGAATTTTGTTGGCAATTAATAAATTTTTTTCAGTAGATCGTGATTAATTTTTTCCTGATATTATAAAGTTATATAGAAATTTCATCTTATGTATCAAGTTGATAATAACCATGATAATATGTTGCTAATTTTTGAAAACTTTTTACTAATTCCCAATAAAATTTAAATTTTGTATCCATCATAATTTTACAAATTGTAATTTTATATTAGACTTCACCTTGTTAACTGATCGCCAATTAGAATAGACCGATGGTCATACAACTGCTGATTCATATAATATACTATTTAGATAATATTTAGTTTATTATTTTAATACAATTATACACAGTTACTACACTATATTCTGATTATTCTATGATTAAGTTAAGTGCATTTCTATTTTGTCTAAAACTTCGTGATATTTTTTTTTTCATTTTACTTAGGTAATTCAACAATAAAACGATAGACTTCAATATCTTAATTATATAATTATTTATTTCATTGCCTAATTTACTTAGGACATTGTTTATAATATCCAGTTAATCTGATAAATATATAGGTATATTAACTGGTGGATTTTTGGCATATAATGTCAAACATTGCCGGTAAATTACCAGTGGTAACATAATGTATGAAATCCACTTGATATATTATTATAGTATATAGTATACACTGTTGTAAATTTGTAATATACATTAATTTTATCACGCCACTAATATAATTTATGTTAACAACACGATTGTGTTTATTCAGGTGTCTGTGATTCTTGTTATTCTACGTATCTACGTATCTATATAAGTATAGTTTATACCTACATGACTGTATATGTAGGTAATTTTTGAGCAATTACATTATAAATAAATTGGATGAAAATCGTATTTTTTTCTATATAGTATTAGTATAATACATAAAAATCTAAAAAAAATCATTATACTCGTATTCTGCAGTTTATCTTTTTGTAGTTTTATGCGATGGGGCTCTTTTTTACTACAATGGCCCAGCGTTAGTTGATTAAATTTTCTCATAAAAAACAAAATAAATATTTTAATTTTATTATTATTTATCAGATAGGCATATTAAATAAAATTATTTTTTAATGACTCCGTGGACTCCACTTCACCACTATCAATAGTGCGTCATTGCTGAAAAAAAAATGGATACATTGTATAGTCCACAGTCCAGTGGGTATATATTATTAGCGTACCTATAATATTCATCGATCCAAGGTCGTATTGAGGAAGTAAGGATAAAATAAAACATTAAAAACTGGTCTCGATCTATAAATATCCTATACTCAGATAGTCTACATTACAACTTTACTATATAGCATTCAACTCCGACGGCGATTGTTTGCAACAAAAAACAGAAAAAACCAGAGGAGACTAAAATCAAAAAAAATAAAAACGAGAATAAATACGCTGGGAGACGTGCACGTACGTGTCTTACGTATGAAAATGCTCCTTTATATGTTGAAAATAATAAAACTCATCCCTTTCGACTTTTCAAACCTTAACGATAAATTACGAATTTGCCACGCACCATACAACTACCGCCACCGTATCGTTGCAAGCCCATGTAGCATGTATGGGGTGTTAGGTCATTTCTTCCGGCCCGGCGGCGGACGTTTTATGACTGTTTTGAAAACCGACACAATACCGTCAAAATCGAATGCACGCTCACAAAATGTCGTATTGATGGTATAATAATACACGTTGTTTTTGTGTTCGTTGTCGAAAATATTTATTGAAACGCGTCACGACTTGTTTACCGATGTGTAAATGTTGAAAAATAAATATTTTTTTATTTTTATTACTCGTTGTTGTCGTCTTAAAAATCGCGATAGCTACTGCCTACTGCAGTAATCTATTATTTGTATCATACTACGTATCATCAACATCATTATATTTAAAATATCGTCGACTTGAAATTTACACAAAACTACAAGCTATAAATAGACTAAATTGAATTGACTAAGAAAAAGAAAACAAAAACTCTATAGCGTATTTGCGTAACTCGATATAAAACAGTGGTATCGAAGAGTTTCATGTTTTATCGCGTTGGTTTTTCTTGTTAATTTGTTGTCTTATAATCGTCGTATAAAATTCGATAATTTACATGGATGTGGAGACGCGGTACAATAAGTACGTATAGGCACGAATTATGAGTGTTTTTCGCCGATTGTTATTGCGACGTAATCGAGTCGTAGCTGTATAATATTATGATTTATGAATAAACACATTATTATCGTTTATGAATTATCAGTGAATGTGTGCTTTTTTAGATTGTAATCGTTCGGGACGACAGTGTATATTAATATTTATCATTATCGATGTATAACATTTGTAATTAACCGAAAATCAGTTTGAAAACGACAAATTAAAATACCATAAAAGATTATACAATGCATTTTTATTACGTACTTTCGTTCATACAGTATACACCATACACGCGCTGCACTGTGGTGTGTATATTATATACAATATAATATATATATATATATACCCATATACATACAATATACGAAATATGGATCACTGACCCCGTAGGCTTTTCTGGTTTTCTGCAATCGTTTTATAAACGACTAAAGAGGTTATTGGCTGTGCTGTGAAAGGGCCGCCGGGACTGCATTAATAGTATCGTATTAGTGGGTGGCACGTGGGGGGAAGGACGGGCGAAAAGACAGTCGGTGTTCAAAAGTTGCAGACAAGGAAACGCAAACATACATTTATGTAATATAGCGTGCATATATATTACATTTATTTTTATAGTCAAGTACCAACAAAATGTTGTAACTATAGTCGTGTCAACGATGCAAAAATAGTGACTATCGTCTTAACCGGAATTTTTTTGCATTCCGTTTTCTCATTTAATACGCGCACACCGTTACGTGTCGTCCCTAACGTCCTCGGGCCCGTTACATCCGTTTGCGATTAGCATACCGATTTGACAATAAATCGCGCGCGATTTCTGGTCGCTTTACTCATCATCGGTCGACCGCCATCAGCTGCGTTGGTAGCAGGAACTCTCTGCGATTATGCGCGCGGAGGAATAATGGGGTGAAGATTTTTTATTTCGGTAAACTTTTCACTTGTTAATGGGTCGTACACCGCGATCGCTCTGTACAAACACACGCGCGCCAGCCCCACCCCACCACCCGCCGCTAGACCCATAATATTCCGTCCCACTTCACGTCCGATTACAACTGTGCGCGCGCCTGTGTGTGTGTCCTTTACCGCCGGCCCGAGACATGCACCGCCACGCGTACCCCTACCACCTACGGGCTACCCATCCACTGTAGCGTTTTCCCCGCTGCTTGCGTCCATCCCCTCCACGTTGCATTCACGGCGGTGGGGGGTAGAGTAGTCGGGGCAGCGGAGTACATACACCGCTACCACCGACGCGCGGCGCGCTCTTCTCTCACAACGGCAGAGGCGGCGGACACTCAATATGGCTTCCGTACGATTGGTCTCCGGTCGCTCGTCCGCTCCGTGAAAATGATAATTTTTTTTTTTTAAATAATTAAATTTTTTTGACAAAATTGATAGTCGCTATTTAATAATAAAAATTTCCAGTACCTACGATATTTCGCGCGATCGTTAGTGTGGCCGCCGCCCTCGAGTGTAACATATTTTTATTTCATGTAAATCGTTTTATGCGTGTGTGTGCTAAAATCCGTGATCGTATCGTTGAAGTGTGTGTATGTGCGCGTTCTATTCTATAAAATATTATATAGTTAATGCTAGTGGTATTGTGTTCCGGGTTAGTGGTGGTCGCTGTCGTGTCCGACGCGGTGTAAACGACGAGTGAAAATATTATATAATTGATGTGTAGATCGTTGTAGCTTTTAAGTCGTTGAGTGTCCGAGGTGTAAATCCGTTATCGGCTTCTCTGTGTGCGATATCCATAATGTATTTCTGAACAGCTTTAAAGAAACCGAATTGCCGCCGCTGCAGTCGTCATCATTACTATCATGAATTACCGTCCGAAACCTAATCCTTTCGATGGCTTGAGGAACTCTCCGTCTTCGCACAACCGTGGAGGACTCAGCTATATGACTACGTGAGTTATTTTTCCAATTGTATTTCTTCATGGTAGCCGCACCCATCGCTCTACATTTGGCACGGAAACATACGTCCTTCACCGATGTTAAAACCCCTCGGCAACCTGGTATTTGGGTCGTAGAAAGTGGACATTTCTTATCGCATTCGCACTAACATACATAGAGTCATAGATTGACATGATTTATACCCTGTCAAGACATTGATAACGCGCATCCTATATATTATTGTGCACGTGTCTTTGACCGGCATCGAATATCTGCGTCAAAGTTTTTCTCCGCCGTCGCACCTGCCGTTCGAAAAAATCAGTTTTCATTTCGGTTCCATTTGCGATGATATAGATACAGGTAGGCAGTAGTAAAGAAGTGCCGTTCGGTAAATACTTGTTTAAGAGTGTACGAGATGTTGGGATCATCCGATTTCCGTGTGTCTCGCGAACTTTCCCCCTTCGGCTGAAGAGGATTAACGAGAAGATTGCGGACGAAACCCGAATAGAGCTGCTCCTCGTCGCATGCACCTTACTCACTTACGATATAACTACTTATATACATATATTATTACAGTAGTAGTCGGCTGTCGCACAGGATTTTTCGTTTACATCCTCTCGTCTCCGTCTATTTTATTTATATATGACGTATATTAATAAATTATCTTCGTTGTGGAAAATACAACATATCCTGTGTATGACGTATATGACGTGTCGATTTTTATTTGGTGTCAAACTGACATTGACATTTTCTATTGGAAAGTCGATGGCGAAAATTTTACATTCGGGAGATGATGGTACAATAGGTAGTAGGGGCCCGCGTCGAACATGAGATTAGAAATCGGGTCTTCTGGGTGTGTCTTATCTCGTAGTAAAATTTATTATTATTAGGTTTGTTCACGTAAGCAGTAGAGATGGATGGTTGACAAAAAAAAAAAAAAAAAAAATGATATAATAATAACATGATAGGTGCCTAACTGCCTCTATGTATGTATGTATGTTTATTATATAAACCGTTGACGTTGCAGCCGTTTTACCTTGAAAACCGCCAACTGCTGTCGTTTGTGTGTATACTCATCGTAACATCTGATGAATAAATTACATGAAAACACACGACGTTTTGTAAATTCGAAATTCGCCAATCTTTGACGAATTGTCTGTACTTTATGATCGTAAAATGTCGGAAGAGGTAAGGCAAATGGTCGATTGCTCAATAAAGATAAATGCTTCGTATCTGTATTTGTGAATACACTGTTACGTATTTGACTAGAGTCCTTTTTCTTCTTTATCCTTGCTCCCCGTTGTCTATTTAACGTTTAACGTATTAAGACTTGTCGTGTAACATTTATCTACAGTAAATTTTTCACTCATATTATTTTCATTTAAAGCATCGTGGAGGGAGAACCAAAAAAATTGTTTTCAAGTTTGTTGTAAACATCTTGCGTCACGATCGCACAATGATTTCATTTAAATAAAAAAAATCATGTTAAATATATATTTATTTGAATTTATTATTCAATATACGTGGTTGTCGCGCATCGGTTCTCGTTGCACTTAAGCTTTTTATTTTTATATCACTAACATTCTTATTTTCCATTTATGATATAGGTACCTATATATTATGCATAATAAATAATAATTCTCCATAGTCATAACACGGCCATTGTATTATTATAATATATATTGTGGACCGATTTCATAATAGTTTATTTTTTCAAGCGGAGAGGATGAGTTCAATTAACGTCAATTATGTCGAATAAGGATTTTGTTTTCGATGAGCGTCTAACATTGTTTGTAATTTGGTGTTAGCTACGTTTCGATCCGTGATTATACAACTCGGTGATAGTCGCCAATTTGTTGTTTAGATTTATTTATTTTTCCATCATTGATATCATTACTTTTATCAATCAGAAGTCATATAATCGATTTAATTCTTTGTATTATATTTTATCTATTTATTAAACTTTGTTTTCTTACATTATTTGTCAATAAAATAATAATCAGTAAAAAGAATGAGAAACTTGACCTTTTTTGATGTCAATTATACAACTCGGGTACATTAGTGTGATATATTGTGTGTGTGTGATAATGTATAATATTATGTACACAAATAAAAATTAATGTCTGTAAGAGTACCTCCTAAATGAGACTCTTCAAGTAAATTTTCCCTTGTCATTAATATATTTATATGTTATCAAAAATTCTTATTGTAAATTGATTATAATTTTTGAAAACAGTTGTATTTTATTTTTAGTTAATTTATTTACATTCATTTAATCCCTTGATATTCATATCATACTTTCTTGTGTAGGTGAGTTTTTTTTAGTAGGGTTCCTTTTTGATTCAACCATCTTAAAGTATGTACAAAACCTTCTAATACTTTTTATGCGATGAAATGTTGTCCCGCTGTCAAAATTCTTTTATAAACTACATTAGTATGTGATACCTCCTTTAAAAACTGTTCCATCGTATAAAATTATGCATGACATGTATTGAACAAAAGATACTGTGAAAAAGTATGTAACATTATTTTGAGGCTTTCACGATTAAAACTTAATTTAAAAAATTTACAATTTCAATGGTGCTTATATAATCGTTGTATGTTACATTGAATGTTAATAACTTAGTTATTAAGAAAAACAATTATGAGTTACCAAGTATGTATTTAATTTTGTCAGGATACATTGTTTTTATAATAAAAATAAAATAAGTAGACATTTAGCATTGATGATAGTAAACATTTTTTATACTAATTAATTAATGTTCTGAAGTATATTAAATTTACACGTATAGTGCACTAAACTAATATGAATTAATATTTGATTATTAACTATAAAAATTGCAAGTTTACATTTAAGTTTTTTTTAAATCAATATTTGTTATATTTTCGGATAGTGCGATTTTATAACAATCAAGTGTCAATTAACATTTATATTTTGTTATACTTGTAAATATTCTCTAGAATTTATTTACTTCAACGTTAGTATATATAATATATTAATATTATTTATGAATTATGATCTTTGTTTGAGAAATGTTTACCTCGTTTTTACTTGGAATTTATGTCACCGGACTAATACTTTGGAGGTGTATTTTAAATTACTAGGGTAAAAGTTGAACCAAATGATATTTGTTTCCTTTAACCCTTTGAATTTATGTGTGTACGAATGAAAATAAACTTTCTTTTATTGCGTAATCGTTAACTATACAACTATTAATTAGAACGTTTTATTAAAAAATAGAAGAATTATATTTTATATAATACCTACCTATGGACCGTGTTTTATAGTCGGTAATCAAACAAAATTAATTATTTAGGCAATATGAATGTCGTCTTTGTGGGTGCACACGTATACGAGATCGTGGAATTCCACAAAATAAATTACGAAAGATATCTAAAAAATTTTATACCCGCGTCTGTTTGTTTTATTATTATTATTATTTTTTATTTGTTTATGCAGTCGGCGAGTATAAAATAACACTATAGTTACGTGGAACACCGTTAATGGGCACGTTTATACCCATCAAGAGTCTGTATATATGGGTTTGTACTTTATACATTAAGTTTTCGTGACTCAGAATATTTTTTAAAAACAAAAAAATCATCTTTTTTATCGACAACAATTTAACTCCCAATGTTATTAGGCACATCACTTCCATTTTAGGTATTCTTTATGACGAAAGTTTCCAAAAAATCCAATCCAGTGAATATTGTCATTGTTATGAAACGATTTGTGTCTCAGTGAGCACCAATAATTTTATTGTTAAGCACTCAAGTGCTCGTTATCTGATTTCAAATGATCAATGACAATGATCATATTATAATTATCAAATTATTTCAACCCTAGTGACCGATTTCGGCTACGAGATTGGTCAGGTAGCGAATTGCGGCTACAGTGGTCAAATCGCCGTGTGAATTAATTATATTATCATAAACGAAACGGACAGTATTTCTTTTGTCAAACAGTCCCATTCATGATCGATGTGCAGTCGTTACTGGGTCTGTATTTTGGAGCAACCCGTAATACGTTTCCATCTTTACCCGAAAATCCATCGTCAACGGGGGTCGCGTTAGCGCCAGCTTTGTTGTTGAAGATTAGTCAAAATGTCAAAACGGTTCCAGAAATCGATATCTCTCGCACCGTGTGTCCGTTGTCCGATTAAAGGTTTATCTAGTAGCAGTAGCTCGCCGACTGTTGTTTTCGACTTCTTAATAATATTAATAATGATCATCCCGCACTAGCGCAGTGGGTCATCGCGTCATTAGAGCGATTTATTAACTTTTTGAAAAATGGTCAACTTTTAACTAAAACATAATTCCAAGATATTTTGTCTCCTAAGTTTGTCGATAATCGGTTACTCGGCAGGAGGCAAAAACGGAGATTATTGATTATTTATGAATAAAAAAAAAAGAATATTTTATTATGTATAAATAAATGAAAAGAATCGCTGAAAATCGTTTCCGGAATAGTCGACGACGACGACGACGACGGCTACCATCACCACCACTTCTACCATTACCACCTCCACAACCATCTCAGGTGCCGCCGTCACTACCGTCTGTATAAAGTGGTCGTCGCGGACGCGTGAGCGACGTTGGCGACCCGAGCAACACCGGAACGGTTCTCCCCACTCGCTAGTGCAACAGACGGCAACGTCGCAGCCGGCTGTGTCGGCGGGGCCTGTTTGCGCAATGACATCGCCGGTGCGCGCGATATATCATTTCACATTTCGGTATTATTGGCCTCCTTTTCAGGGGCGTCTTTACTCTTTCGTCTGCCTTAACCACCCGCGTGCATGCGCTGCTCATCCTGATCTCGATCCAATGATGTTTGAACTAATGTATCGCCGCGGGGGGGCACATATTTCTATGTATCACGATATTGTAATCGTATGTTTACTCAAAATATACGTTCGGGAGCGACAAAGAGCGAGTGAGACGTCAGTGGACGCAAAGACTCTGGAGACGTCGAGGAATTCGTAGGGATAAACATTTGTAATCTGTTCGTCCTCAC